CAGTACATACTACGACATGCTTCAGAAAGCAATGCCTGTGAAAATGAGCTACCTTTCCAAGTCCATTATCTTCTATTTTACTTCACTCATCCATGTTATACTGTGTTCTTCAAAATCATCTAGCTTGGCCAGAACCAGGGGAGCCAACAGTGTCCAGATGTAGAGAGAAACACAGATCCAGCTGCAGGCAATCTTCACCCACACTGCAGTCCAAGTGCTGGATACGGTCTGAAAATCGGGACCATGACTGTGTGTGTAACGCAAGACATCTATTGTTAATCATCCCAAATCTGCTTGGTATTTGATCATAAAGTAAAAGGATTTTTATGATTCAACACATTCAAATCAAGAGTTTACAGTTCCCGTAACTTCCTTACAAGGTATTTTTTTCTGCAAACTTGAAAATAGTTGGGAGGAAAGAAATATTACCAGTTTTGGAATATGCCCACAGTGCAAGTGTGTAAGTACACAGCTTTTGCATTGTGCATACCCAGCCCATAAATAGCTTAACAATTTTCATTTCTAACTTTATAAAGGCAACATTAGACTGGGTGTCTGACAATTAGTGGCGTGAGCCATGCCTTAATGATAATAATAATAGCAATAATAATCCATACATTTGATACAGTGCCTTTCAGAGGACATCTCAAAAACAGGATATATTGTAAAGTGCAGTGACTGTGTAGTTTGTAGGCAAACACAGCAGTCAATTTGCACACATCAATGTGCCACAAACAGCCATGATGTGAATGATCAATTTCATTGTGGAAGGGGGATTGTTCGACCAGAAGCACTGAAACTCCCTTTTCTTTTCAAATGGAGACATGAGATCTTTAACATCCAAGTGAACAGGCAGACAGGGCCTCAGTTTAACGTCTCATCCAAAGGCCGGGGAATGCATATTCCTCTCCTCGTCACTGTTTACCTTCATCGCTGTCTGGAAATTCTGTTGAAGTTGTTGCAACATTTTTACTGGATAGTGGGTAAAATATAATAGTATTCAATACTAAAAACATTGATCAGCATTGTTAGGATAACTTCAGAAAGCCAGAAAGCCCTGTGTATTGCTTCCTTTTTTTTACTCTACACAACTACAAAATAATGTCTCTTGAGATTTTATAACTCATCACAATGAAGCTCACCCACAAGTTAATTGACACTGTTGTGACCACAAGGAAACCTGCAAAAAAAATGATCCACAATAAAGAAGAATCCCATTATCTTTTATTGAGTCCTCTGGCCCTGAACCTCACTTTTTATGGAACGTAGGACTGCACCAGCGGTAACAGATCATTGCATCGATCAAGCCGTGCCCAAACATCGGCAAAATATCATCTAATACTTTGTTTCCATATCCCTTTTTATTCCTTCTTTTGCCAAACAGATTAATCCTTTGCCATCTTAAACTTGCCATCATTCTCCAACTCCACCATTTCCTGGCAGTCTGTTCCATTATTCTCTGTAAATCAACATATATGCCTGTAAACTCTTGCTTGTAGTTTTTGTGAAAGCATGCATAACCAGTGAGCCTCAGATGTATTGTAGTCTATGCTCAGCTAGTTCAGTTCTGACTTTCATGGCTTTTAGCTTCCAAGCAGAGTTGCAGAGAGTGAACCGTGACACAACTGGGATTTGTTAGTTCTGAGTCCTTTTACAACTTCATAACAACAACTTGCATTCAAACGAGTAGCATCTCGGAGTTGTCTCCCACTGTCACAATCTATGATCAAAAGAACATGAAAAGAGAGGCAACTACCAAATCGTTTTTGATTGTGTAAGATATCCGCTCAGTCATTTCTCTGGTCAACATCACTGAGCATTGACTATGTCTCAGCATGGCTCTTGGGCCAGAAAGAAATGTGCTAACTGGATCAATCATAGATTTGCCTCTGATTCACTCAATCCAGTTTTGTTCACGACGTTATGAATTAATGGGATATGTGATAGTGTTCAGATAGACATAATAATAATAATAATAATAATATGTAAAGCACATGTAAACCAAAGCTCGAATAATATCTTCGATGTGGATTTTTGTAAAGATTTGCTGCGTATTTGATCTTGTGATTTTCCAAACCCTACATTTTGACTCCAGGTTTATTGGAAGAAAGTCTAAATCTGATGCCTTGACATTTGGGGGTTTGATTGGGAAGATTTGGAGGTACTCTCAGTTCTAGTTTCTAGTTTCCAGGTGTTGGCAAATCGAGATTCTCACATTAAATAATTTAACTGAGAACAAGCAAAGGGACAATAATCGGAAAGAGCTGCCTTATTGCAAATTGCAAAATCCAACTTTCTTTGCAAAGAAAAATAGTTTGGCAATTTAAAACACCTGGAATCCATTTACGAACACAAAATGTCAACTACGGAGGAATTTGAGACCTGTGTAAATAACCAAGGAGCACCTGGAGGCAGAGCCATGCAAGTTAATTACAACTTGCAAACCTCTATATAGTTGTCAGTGAGAAATGAAAGTCTGTCAATCATCAGTGATCAATACCTGAGCTTGCTTGGTGGTGATGTGAACATATTCAAGTCAGTCAGAGTTCATTCAATGAAAGCATACAAATGAACATTGTAAAATAGAGATTATAAAAATGCAAAGGAAAGTGTTTATATTAATATTTTTAAGGTCAGGTTATGCCTCAAGAAGGTTCTGTAAAAAATATTGGGGTGATTTTCCTCCCATCAATAACATTTAGACAGGACGGAAAACATAGTTTCAGCAGTGTGAACATTTCATCCATTTATATGCATTTATAAGTTGAAATTTTCCACTCAGTCCTTCCAGCTACAAATAGAGGTTACTAAATGCACAATGAAAAATAACAATTAAAGTGTGAAACTGATGCTGGATGTTAATTAAAGCAGGAAATCTACAAATGTCATGATATCTGAGGCTGTGCTAACATGGGGGTAACTATTTAATAATAATCTGAATGGGTAGTAATAAATAATAATAATAATAATCATCCTTACATCCGATGTAGCATCTTACACGTCGGGAGGATGTCTCAAAGCAATATACAGAATTTTACTGTAAAGTGTAGTGATGCAGTGCAAAATGAACCCAAGGCAAACACGATAGCCAATTTGTGCACAGCAGTGGCCCATAAACCATGAAGTGAATGACCAATTTTATTTGGGGAATTGTTTGGCCAGGACTCTGGAAAAAAATCTAGCACTCCCTCCAGCACTGCATTTGGAGTGTCAGCCTAGAGAGGGTGAGTTCAAAGTCCTGATGTGTAAATCATAAGACAAGCACTGTTTGTGTGTGAGTTTTTATTTACTGGGTACTGCAGGAATTCAGATTATTGATCTTTTGTTTTGATACAGATGATATTGAACATCAGAGCAAGGGTTTGGGGGCCTCGGCACCTGGGTTTCTCTTTCCAAACTTCATTTAGTGTCACATCTACAATTGTTATGCCAGATTCTTTACGATACCTTTTTTTAAACAAAATGCACGCTCCGTGAAAACAACATTCGTCTCTGTTTAAAAGCCTTTTCCAGAATATTGTCTTCCTACCTGGAAACATTTAGTTTAAAGCATACCCCAATAAACATATTGTGAAGCCAATGTGAGGCCGTAGAGTCCTGTAGCTCAGTGGTTAGAGCACTCGCCTCGCAAGCGAGAGGACCTGGGTTTGATTCTTGGCAGAGCGAAATGTTGGGCAAGTTTCTGTATTAGACACGCCTGTTTACCTAGCAGTAAGTAGGAACCCAGTTGTTAGTCGATTGGCAGATTGCTTTTCCAGCGGTATATTTCCTTAAAAAAGAATTGGTCATTTCAATCCAAGACCGTTTGTGGGACACTGCTGTGCGTAATTGGCTGCCACGTTTCACCCACAAAATATACAGTCAATTCACTTGCAGTATATTCTGTGAAGCGCTTTGAGATGTCTCGAAGACGTGATAAGGTGCTATATCAAATGCAAGGATTATTATTATTAAATTATGTATATTGCTGTTTGCTGGTTGTTATTTGATTGTATGAACTTCACAAAGCACAAAGCTGCTTAGAAAAAAACTTAAGCTCCATATCAGGACTTTGAACTCATAGTCTAGCTTGACATTTGCAGTGCTGGGGTGTACTGGATTGTTGGGGATGTTATCCTTTGGATTAAATGTTAACCCGAGACCCTCTCTGCCTGTTTAGGTGGATGTTAAAGATCTCATGGCATTATACAAAAAGAGAAGGGAGTTTCTCCTGGTGGCCTGGCCAGCAATTTCCCAAATAAAATTTATCACTCATTTTAGTGCTGTTTGTGGGACATTATTGGGCACAAATTGACTGCAATGTGTGCTTACAAATACAGTCACTGCACTTCACAGTAAATACCTGTAGTGCTCTTTGAGACGTCTTGATGATGTGATAAAGTGCTATGCCAAATGGAAGGGTTATTATTATAACCAGATTAATATCCCTCTCCCCAAATGTCTGCCTCTTACCTCTGCCAGTTGGTTAGTGTCATCAGAACATACAGGGAAGCCAGACACAATATGAAGTGAAAAAAGCAGTAGCTGTAATGAACCCCTTGCTTTTCGGTGTCCTGAAAGCGATGCACTTCTTCACAGCCTTCCTCTATTGATGTGCTGTCCAGAGAGCTGGCATCCAGGGCAGTGATGGACTGGCTCTGCTTGTGTGTGTATTGAGGCTTCCTAATGCTGAGCAAAACACACGGCAGAAACTAATTGAAAAAGTTAAAGTGCTAAAACAAGGTTAGGAGTATACTGACTGCACGGAAGATGCGTAACAGGCTTGTGTGAGCTGAGCGGAGGATACAATATATAAATTGCTTACTTTAGAAGTTTCATATTTGCACAGGACAAATATCATCAGCAGACTATTGTTTTTATTTTGTAAAATGACATGCAACAGCAAACAGTTGTGATTTACCTTAAGTATAACACACAGGTAAGGAAAAAGGGCAAAGCAACAACACTTAGACTTTCCCACTGCAGCCGTGAGCCTGAGATCTCAGGTATGTTCACAGTACTGTTGTTGAAGTCAGCGCTAGGAAATGTCTGATCAAAAACGTTTATGTTGGGATTGCACTCAGCGTCTGAAAGAAAAATCTCAATTAAGGTTTGCTAATTTCTTTAATTTATTGTACAATAAATTGCAACTCGGTCGTTCACTTCATAGCTGTTTGTGATTGACTGCTGTGCGCAAATTGGCTCCTGCATTCACCATCAAACTACGCAGTCACTGCAATTTACAGTACATTATTATTATTACATCCTCCTGACACAAAAGACGCTATGTTAAACTCGTGTTTCGTTCTTTAAATGCTTTTTTTCACAAACTTTCCTGTGAGCATGAATTTAATATGAAAGTTGTGCTGTAGTGAGGTGCATTTCCTGAATAAACTCTCCATTCTAGAAGCACAGCAAAATAATCTGACATTAATTTATATTCTGGCTCTGCAGCCAATTACGTGTAAAATACTCCTTCTAACAGCGAAGAAAGGATTTTTCAGTCTGCTGTTAACTTGCCTACATAAACTGTTTAGAATCACTGCAATTATCTTTTTTTTTAAAAATCCTTACATTTAGCACCTTTCACATCTCAAAAGAGCTTCACAGGATTTACTGTAACGTGTAATGACCGGTGTATTTGAGGACAAATGCAGCAGTTGGTTGGCAAACAGTAATATTGCACAAACAGCCATGAAGTGAATGTCCAATTTTAATGTAAATTTCACTGAACTCTCCCCTTTCCCTCTATTAGGACCAGTTAAGAGTGGAGTGCTGGGGCTGGGGGGAAATCAGTGCTACGGCGAGAGAGGATGATTTATTCGGAATGCAGAGCTGTTGTTTAGAATACTCCTTTACTTAGCCCCTTTAAGGTCAAATGAACTTTACCTATTAAGAGCAGTTAATGTGTAGCCATGAGAGATGATTGGATCCATCTGGTGTATTTTTCATGAAAGGGCAGCAGCAGGAGTTTACTCGGTGGGATGCTGAACACAAAGTTAAAAGGGTATTGTCAAGCAGAGGTGGTTCTTAAACCTCTGCTGAGAGTGCACAGTACTGATACCAGGGATTGTTTGCATTGAAAACAATCTTGCTGTAAAGTGCTGTGACTTTGACTATGTGCATTTATAAACATAGTTAATTAATAATAAAGGTTGTATTGTGAGGCCACATTGTGTTGCTACACTTGCCAGGAAGAGGAACCTTTCTCTTCTTTCTACTTGCATAGCTCACAAACAGCCGTGAAGTAAATTACTAAATTGGCTGCCGCTTTCACCCACAAAATACAAATAGCCACATCACTTTACTGTATGTGAAGAGTTTTGCAACGTTTCGATAACATAAGGCAATATATCAAAATGCAAGGATTAGTATTATTATTCTACCTTTTGCAGTAAATTTTCTTCAGTTTATTTTTCTCTCTCGCTATTTTCTCCCTCTCCCATTCAATTCCTTTCCCCTTCTATTGGGACACAATTCCACAACCTCTTGTTTTCCCTATCACTGATGTGTCAGTCTTCACACTGAGTGTTGGCAAAGTATTCAACCACAGGAGGGCATCGTGTTTGTGCTTTGATCCTTTTGTTCTTTTTGCATTCTAATAATAATAACAATCCTTACATTTGATATTGGACCTTTCATTTTGGGAGAGTGTCTCAAAGCATTTCACATGATATATTGTAAAATACACTGATTGTATATTTTTTAAGTTGAACGTGACAGCAAATTTGCACACAGCAATTCTCTGAAGTACTCTGAAGTGGCTGAACCCCCAGGTACTCTGAGACCCTCCTGGGGTATTGAAAGGTCTTTCAAGGTTTCAGAACAGGTAATGCATCTGACCAGTTAAAAGGGTGTAAAATAATACTTGAAGTTAATCCAGCACCTTATCGTTTCTCAAAGTGCTTTACACAACGAGTTACTTATTGTATACAAAGAGTAATAAATTGGTCACTTCAATCCATGACTGTTTGTGGAATGCTGCTGTGCGCAATTAGCTGCCACGTTTCGCCCACAAAATATACAGTCAATTCACTTTACAGTATATTCTGTGAAGCGATTTGAGACGTCTCGAAGACATGATAAGGCGCTATATCAAATGAAAGGATTAATTTGTTGTTGTTGTAGACAAATGGGGCAGCTAATCTGTGCTAGCCATGACAATCATCATTAAACCGGTGTTTTTGAATGCGAGAATATTAGCCACAGAACTTATGCGAGTTTTACTGTAGTTCATCATCCATCTCACAACAAAGTGAATGACAAAATTTATTTGGGAGATTGACCAGGGCACAAGCAGAAAGTCCCTTCTCTTTTCGAGTAGTGGCATGAGATATTTAACGTCCAGCTGAACTTGGGATTTAAGAACACCTGGGCTCTCAAAAGAGGTGAACATGTAACTAGTAGACTGCAATAGGCATAAGCTAAAGAAATTCTTGTTTTAAGGCTACATGCTTTCCTGATGCTTAGAATTCTATCCAATGAGGAGGAAGACTAAATTGAATTAAAACTGTGTTTGGGGTTAATTCTTCAACATGCACTGGAGTAAAGCAAAGTTTGGGTGTTAACATCAATGGTATGAAGCGCGTTATCATCACACATCACACCAGTGCTCCCAAAAGAGGTGATGGGCTGGTGAAACAACACTCACACACTGAAGGGAAGGTGCTTACCTGGCTCATTGCTTATTGCTGACCAGGTGAGGTACATAATATACAGCGTGATGATTGATGACTGGAGACCAGTGCAAGAATTACCTTCCTGAAATGATAACAAGCAGCCACAAACAGATATTCCTTATCAATGAACAATTATTTGATTATTCTTCTATATATTTATACGAGTACAGTATATACACGCACAAGATGAAAATAAGTTTGAATTAAGTCTTAGAAAGCAATTTATTTATGTGGTGTGCTTGATATTTAAAAAAAAATTGGGGGTCAGCAAGGGTGTGCAACATGTGCGGAAACCCATCACCATGCTCAAGCTGAGGTTTCCATGCATCCCATCTACACATGAAAATCTCAGAGATAGATTGTTGGAATGGAATGCACACTCTCTCCCTAGAGGAACGCATTCTGCTTACCTAATTCTGGAAAGTATTAGGTGCAGGTTGGCAAGAGCCAAGGCTTGGGGACCCCAGATGTGCGTAGGAGTACTACTGGAGTCTATCCAGCTAAAACCGCATAGTTTACCATTGATATTGCTGTCCAGGAAGTTTTCCCACTGCTTGTCCAGCAGGGATCACCCTAACCATTAGGGCTTTGGCTTGCAGGGTTAACAGGAACTGAGTGGGATGACTTCCTGCCTCAGTGACTTGTCTGCCCAGGTCTAGCCGATGAGGCTGGCTGTGTGGTAATCAGCAGTGCCCTGGAACACTGCAGACCCACCTGGCTCAGGTAAGGGAATACCGAGACTGCCACAGAGGGCTGGCTCGATTTCAACATTGCATTGCCAGACATGTCACCTTGGAGCCAGTTCGGGTCTCCAAGGAGACCCCACTTTTACGTGTGCTTGATCATGTATTCAACAACAATAACTTGCATCTGAATGGCACCCTATTCGTGGGGAAATGACTCTGGAGTAGTTTTCAATGACGGGGTCATTGTTGAGCAGGGGAGAGAGAAGGTGGAGGTGGCCATAGTTACATTCAAAGAGGGAATGATTTAAAGACCGATACAGACAGACAAACAGACAGACAAACAGAGGGAGGAAGGGAAATCTAGAGGTTAGAGGTGCAGGAACTGAAAGCTCAGCCACTGACAGTGGTGCAGAGAGGATGGGTGGACACACAGAAAGCCTGAGTTTGCCGAGCAGATAGGATGATCAGACGCATGGAGAGGTTTAGGATTAGGAGGTGCTGGGGCATAGAGGGATTTATTACTCTTTAAATATACTAAATACAGTCTTTGTGAATGGATAAGGTCATATAAAGAATGACCATACCCAGTTTTGCCCACACCTTAGATGCATGTGTTTGTATGTAATGTTTCTATCTTTGTAATTAACATCTTCTAAATAAAGTGAATAATAATAATCCTTACATTTGATATAGCACCTTATCACCTCGTCTTATCTCAAAGCGCTTCACAGGATACACTGTAAAGTGTAGTGACTGTATATGTTGTGGGTGAAACGCGGCAGCCAATTGTGCACAGCAGTGTCCCACAAATGTGGTTTTAGCTGGTTAAACTCCAGCATTACCCCAATGCACACTCTGGGTCCCCGAGCCTCGATTCTTGCCAACCTGCGCCTAATACTCTCCAAAATCAGGTGAACAGAATGTGTCCTTTCAGGCAGTGAGAGCACATTGCATTCCAGACACAGGGCATTCTCCATGTGTAGGTGACATACAGATGTGGAACTCTCAATCTGGTTTGGATACTCTTAAGCATGGTAATGGATTTCTGCATATTTCAGACACCTGGCTGATCAAAAATAAATAAATAAATTATATTTCAACAAAATTCTCCATAGCTGCGTGACATCAGGACTTTTCTTGCTCGAAGGACCATTGCGGAAATAAACCATCAATCTAAGTCAGCTCTTAAATATTCCCAGTGAACTCTCAGAAAAGATTAAAACATTGCTTGCAGCACTTTACTTAATTTCCTACAAAAATTGAATTGCTCTTCCCCCGAACTCCCTCCAAAGCTACAGTCTTGATGGAGATCACAGGGGAAATACAAACTTTGTAATCTGTAATCAGTTTACATCAAAATGCACTCAATCCACATCTACTGACGCACAGGTTGAAGAATGTTCAAACAAAATAACCACCAGAAAAAAAATGCTTAGCACTGAAAACTGAGTACTCTGGGGGAGTGAACATTGTGCCAGTTCATGAGACTAACATACAGCATCTTCCCTGCTGAACACCCAGTTTGTTTTGAGGCACTTTACTGGTGTTCACTCTGTTCCAGCATTAGCTTCCTGGTCTGCTGTGGTTTGTCCATCCCTCAAAGTGTATCTCTCAGTTTCTGGTATTTGCTAAAACGTTCCAACAATCTCTCAACCTGATCCTTGACCGAGAGGACAAAGCAGCTTTGCTTCAAGATACTCTAGGGTGTGTGAAATGTGGAACAGGCTTTGTGAACAGAATGCCTTGGGCAGTAAAACTTAATACAATACAAATTTACATTTAAGTGGCCCAAGGCACCTAACAATCTTAGTTTGGCACCTGAGCTGGGGGTGGGAGCTGGGGGTGGGAGCCAGGGGGACGGGGGATCCGAGGGGGACATGGGAGGGGAGGGGGAAGCCAAGGGGAGCAGGTGGGGAGCTGAGGGGAGGGGGGAAGAGCTGAAGAGAGGGGGTGGGAAGAAAGATGACCAAAAGCATTCCCCACTACCAACACCCAACCACCTCAAGAGCATTAAAATTACACCATTCAAGCGGGTTTGTTTTTAGCAAAATATCATCTAAGTACTTCACTCTCATGTGGATGGGCTGTTCATCACCGAGAAAAATCTGGATCAAGTGTGAGGCCCTCTCGGCGTTACTGGCCAGGTCTGGCCTTTGACCAGGAACAACGTCACTGCAGTCACCAGAGAAATTTTCCAGCTGATCTGAGGGTCAAAGATGGATCGCGTCCGCAGAGATACGATGCACAAAACCGCGGAAATGGGGGGGTGGAAAGGGGTCCCTAACGTAGCCCTGATCCTCATTGCCACCTTTGTGTGTAACTGCCTGAGGCTGTGCCTGGAGCCGCACTACACCAGGAACAAATGCTGCTACGTTCTGGGTTTCTACCTGTACCCAGTGCTAAAGGTAGGTCTGGCAGAACAGCCTCGAAACATTCCACACAGTTGAGCGTGCCCCGAATTACCTATCCTATGTTGAGAAATTCCTGAAGATCACCATCCCAGATCCCTGTGCAAATTACTGAGTGGTCCTCACGACAGGTAGTCCAAACAGTTTGAAAGGGGAACAGGGCACACCTGGTTGGGAGGTACCCTGCGAGAACAGACAGCTACATACAGCAACAACTTGGATTTATATAGCACCCTCCACGCCGGACGGGGTCTCAGAGAGCTTCACAGTAACGGATCCCGGGACCGAGCCAGGGGGATGGGGAGGAAGGTGACCAAAGTTGCGGTCAAAGAGAAAGGTCTTCAGCAGAGACCTGAAAATAGGAAGAGAGAGAGTGAGAAAGGGAATTCCAGAGCCTCGGGGCATAGTGGCTGAACGCACAGCCGCCGAGGGTGAAGTGGAGGACTCGAGGGACGAGGAGGAGGCCAGACCTGGAGGAACGAAGGCAACGGATACTGTTTTGAGGAAAGAGGAGGTCAGAGAGGTAGTGGGGTGCAGAGGAATGGAGGGATTTGAATACAAGGGTGAGGATCTTGAAGTTGATACATCTGCCAAAATGCCTCGTCACTGGCCCTGACCAACAATCATCAGGACATGGCTTGGCTGGCGATAAAAGGGGTCTCCCCCTCAGGGCTTTCATGCATGGTTGAGATCTAGGCCAGTCAGCACCTTGCCCTCAGGCCGGCTGCAGAGGCCAGGAGACCCTGGACCACCTCTTCCTGGAGTGTTGTTTCGCAAAGGCGGTTTGGAAAAAGATGGAATGGATTCTCTCGTGGTTCGTCCCTGGAGCCCCGCTGTCACAGCACTCGGTGCTGTATGGCCTGTTCCTGGGCACTCAGAGCGAAAACCACATTGAGTGTGCCTGGAGGATCATAAACTCGGTAAAGGAAGCCCTTTGGCACTCCCGAAACCAGGTGTTGTTCTGGCACAACGAGGGGACGTTGAGGGCCTGGCAGGATCAGGGACTATATACTGAGGGACAAGCTGAAGTTTGGTTCAACCACGGCAAAGGCCGGTTGGGGCCTGACCCCGGCAGGAGCCGCTCCGGCACAACCCACTCAGGGCGCACCCATCGGGCTCCCCACGAGCGCACCCAAAACTGACTGAAGGGTACAGAAAGACGCTCGAGATGTACCCGAAGAGTGTTCCAAAAATGTATGTACTGTAAACATGTGCGCGAACGGTGCACATCGGGCCGCCTTCCGAAAGCGGCAAGCGCGTCTTATCAGGATGTGCACGGGCGCACACATGGATGTGGTGAACACGGGGTGACTCCCGACTGTGTTAAAGGGAGCGTTCCAAAAAACGCGTGCAGAATCTAAGCGCGGTGAAGGAATGGACCGTAAACAATGGAATGCTTTTTGTATCAGGAGAAAAGGAAAAGATTGTAACAGAAGACGTTGTGTTTGTTGTGGATTTCTGTTGTACTAAATATTATATTTACAAATAAATATATCTTTTCCAAAGAAAAAGGACACGGGCTGTTCTGGTAAGAAACTGACTCTTATCCACATGGTGGTCGTTAAATGTTATCCGGTGCATCTGACATACAACTACCCTTATCTGTAAAGTGCACTAGAACTGCATCCTCCTGAGTCAACATCCCTTTGAACACAGTTGCTGCTTCAACTTCTAAAGGCGCAATCGGCTTCTTTTGTACTGTAAATTTCATATCATACCGTTATTCCAAACAGTAGGTTGATGTGTCAACAAAAGAGCCTCTGAGCTGCAGCTGCCAGGGCTCCCTCGCTGCACATTATCTACACTTGGAATATTGAGTCCCCAACAGGGAGTAAGAATGAGCTTCTACTTTTGCTTCTGGGGCCCTGTAAAGTTCAACAATCCTGACCGGAGCTGAGAACGATTGACCTTTCCAAACTGAGCATCTCGCAGAAGATTCGGGTGGTGGAAATGGAGATCTGGATAGGTCAACAATAATAGTAACACCAATATGTTCAACATTGAGTCACGAATCACATGCATAGCAGGAAAGGTGAAATTCAAAACCAAATCTATCTTGGTATTAAACTCATTAAAAAGCCCTTGAACATGAGGAAGATTTAAAGAACTTCCTTTTGGATCGTGCTTACGGTCGCCTCCCACTTCCTCACCCCCCCGGCTCGATGTCAGACTCCGCCAATGTCAAGCGCTCCAGGTCGTGAAGGGTGCTATATAAATCCAAGTTGTTGTTGTTGTCAAACCCTGCATCAGGACTTTGAGCTCATTGTGCAGACTGATGCCAATTTAGTGCTGGCAGAGTTCTGCATTGTATGAGGTGCCGCCCTTCAGGTGAGACATTAAACTAAAGTTTCAAGATTTCATGGCACTGTTCAAAAAAGAAGCAAGTTTCTCCCAATGTCCTGACCAACAAGCCCCAGAAAAAAAATAGTCACTTCATGGCTGTTTGTGGGATATTGCTGTATGTAAATTGGCTGCAGTGTTTGACAACAAATACGCAGTTATTATAGTTTACAGTATATCCTGTGAAGCGCTTTGAGGGCCTTGACGACGTGAGAAGATCCTACATCAAATGCAAGGATTATTATCATTTCCTGCCTGATCTTATCTTTAGTTCAAGATAATTTTGGCATTGTGCAAGGATAATTGACATTATTATTCTGTTAATAACAACAACAACTTGGATTTATGTAGCGCCTCCATGCCGGACGGCATCTCAGAGCGCTTCACAGTAACGGATCCTGGGGCCGAGCCAGGGGGAGGGGGAGGAAGGTGACCAAAGGGGCGGTCGAAAAGAAAGGTCTTCAGCCGAGACCTGAAAATAGGAAGAGGGGGAGAAGCGAAGGGAGTGAGGAAGGGAGTTCCAGAGCCTCGGGGCATAGTGGCTGAAAGCACGGCTGCCGAGGGTGGAGCGGAGGACTCGGGGGACAAGGAGGAGGCCAGACCTGGTGGAATGAAAGCAACGGGCACTGTTGTGAGGAGAGAGGAGGTCAGAGAGGTAGGAGGGTGCAGAGGAGTGGAGGGATTTGAAGACAAGGGTGAGGATCTTGAAGTCGATCCTCTCTGGGACAGGCAGACAGTGCAGTCTGGCAAGGACTGGGGTAATCGGGGAGCGGAGTTTGGTGAGGGTAAGAATGCAGGCGGCAGAGTTTTGTATGACCTGGATTTTATGGATGGTAGTGGAGAGGAGACCAGCGAGGAGGGCATTTGAATAGTCCACCAAGAGGTGACAAAGGCATGGACCAGGGTTTCAGCGGCTTTTGGAGTGAGGTATTGGCGGAGACGGGCGATGCGTCGGAGGTGGAAGAAAGCGGTGCTGGTGAGGGACCGGATGTGGGGGAGGAAGGATAATTGGGCGTTGAACTTGACGTCTAGGTTGCCTTTAGGTTCAAAGAGTTTTAGGGGAGGTCGGGTAGCTGGTGTGATTTTAGACAATTATTGAGGATTATTGTCATTATTCTGTTAATAATACAGATGACTCAGATATTGAAGAGACACCTGCCGCCATTGCTCATTGCCCTCTCCCGTAATCATTAATATCCATTATTAAACAAACATAGCAGGCAGCAAAAGTACTTGCCCATCTGAAACTAAAATGAATTACATTATAATTATTGTAATATTGTGAACGGTTTTAACAAGAGATATTACAAGATTTGTTTCGGTCATGCAATAAAAGCAACATAATAACTTGCTTACCTGGATTTTTGGAAGAGTTGATATTAAAGAAGCTAAAACACACAGCAGGATGTTGAAGCTGATGAAACATTTATTCTCAATGCAGCCGTCAGCCGTGGTGTAGAACACATAACAGGAGATTGCAATGGTTAATGACGTTCCATAATTCAGGCCTGTAACTGACAGCAGTGCTGTAAAAACACAAGAAATTGAGCTGTTGCTAGACTATTTCTTTAATCATCACTCCATCTTTTCTGCAGCCATCCTTAAAGCAAACCCTTATTAATTGACAAAATTCACAGCTATGAGCTAAATTCAGAATATACCCCTCAAAGCTATCCCAATCACTAGAAAAAAACTTGTATTTTTATTTAAGTTAAATTAACAGAGATGATTTAAGTACTGTAAGTTTGTAAGAAGTTACTTAGCTACGATGGGAGCAAATTGGGATTACAGACATTTTATATTTGAAGAGAAATGGGGAAAGAGCAAAGATTTGGGCTTGGAGTAGTTTGTCAGAGTGGAGGAGAAGCACCAGCACAGGGTTGATGGGCTCAGTGGATTCTTTCTGTGCCAGAATTTCTATGATCATCACTTTCAATGAGATCTTAAAGTAGAGTGCCCTGGCCAACAATCCCCCAGATAAAATTGGCCATAGCTGCTTGGGGACATTGCTGCATCCAAATTGGCTGTCGTGATCACCTATAAATACAGACACTACATTTCACAGTAAATCCTGTGAAGCACTTTGAGACATTCTTCTGACATGAAAGAAACTGTAGCAAATGCAAGGAGCATTTTTATTTTCTCACTAATTTTATGCCATTTCATTATCATTCCCAAAACAGCAGCACTCAATCAGTTTGAAATCTGTCCTTCATATTAAAGTAAGCAGATCTCTCACACGGAAGTACCTTGGGACATCCTCCGGACATGAAAGGCACTATATAAATGTAAATTTGTATTGTAATTTATTAAGAACAATTATCAAGAAAAATGTTTCAGTGCTGTAACAATCTATATAATTCTATTTACAGTTTATGTCGGTCGATCTCCAGGCGATATCTGTAAAGGACAGTGTTTTACACTTTACAATAAATCCTGTGATGCACTTTGGGACATTCTCCTGATGTGAAAGGCATAAAGTATTATTATTATTAGTTCATGTAAGTCTATGTAATTCTATGTCTCATCTATGTCCAGTCTTTATTCAGTCTGTGTAATACCATTATATATAAAATATGGTGTTTGCCTATTTTAAAGTATCTGAATGTAACCAAGGTCAACAAACCAATGTACTGGAATTTATGACAGATTTGCAAAAGGACTCCACAAATTTTGATCAGAAGATGAATGACATGATCCAGAGTTTATGGCATATCTTTTGTGGTGCTAATAGTCCCCAGTTTTCGTTTATATGCTGAACGTTGTGTGGGGTCATCTAGTGGCAATCAGTAGTAAGACAGCAGGTGAGAATCTTAATCTTAAAACAGTCTGGTTTTGTTTAGAGAATCTTAAAACAGTCTGGTTTTGTTAACCCTTATTGAGTAGATAGGTACCTTGCTCAGTTGGCAACACTGTCACCTCTGAGTCAGAATCATTGTGGGCTCAAGGCCCACTTTGAACCCATATATCTAAACTCACACTCCAATGCAGTGCTGGGGGGTGTTGTATTACGAGGGGTGAAACGTACATTGGATGAGACGTAACAGTAAATCCCATGACGTACTTTGAAACATTGCCCTGACATGAAAAGTACTATGTCAATGGGTAACTTTAGACCAGTTAGCCTGACATCGGTGGTAGGGAAAATTCTAGTGTCTGTAATTGGGGACGTCGTCGTGGGGCACTAAGAAAGTAATAATATGATTAGGCAGAGTCAACACGGTTTTATGAAAGGGAAATCGTGCTTTACAAATCTTTTAGAGTTTTTTGAAGATGTAACTAGCAGGTTAAATGGGGGGAACCAGTGGATATAGTGTACTTGGATTTTAGAAGGTATTCAACAAGGTGCCACATAAAAGGTTGTTACATAAGGTTAGGGCTCATGGAATTAAGGGTAATATATTAACATGGATCGAAGAGTGGTTAACAGGCAGAAAACAGAGAGTAGGGAAAAATGGGTCCTTCTCAGATTGGCAGGTTGTGACAAGTGGAGTGCCGTGAGGATCAGTACTTGGGCCTCAACTGTTTACAGTCTACATCAATGACTTAGATGAGGACGTAGAGCTTAATGTATCTAAACTCGCAGACGATACAAAGCTAGGTGGGAAAGTAAGCTGTGAGGAGGACACAAGGAGGATGCAAAGGGATATAGACAGGTTAAGTGAGTGGCAGATAGAGTATAATGTGGGGAAGTGTGAAGTTATTCACCTAGGTAGAAAAAATAGAAAAGCAGATTATTTTCTAGAGGGGAAGAGACTAGATCGTGTTAATATTCAGAGGGATTTAGGTGTTCTTGTTCACCAATCACAGAAAGTTAGTATGCAGGTACAGCAAGCAATTAGGAAGGCTAATAGCATGTTAGTATTTCTTGCAAAGGGGTTAGAGTACAAGAATAGCGAAGTCTTGCTGCAATTGTATAGGGCCTTTGTGAGACCTGGAACCGCACCTGGAATATTGTATGCAGTTTTGGTCTCCTTATCTAAGAAAGGATATACTCGCCTTAGAGGGGATGCAATATAGGTTCACTCGGTTGGTTCCTGGGATAAGGAGGTTGACCTATGAGGAGAGGTTGAGTAGACTACAACAACAAGATTACATTTGTATAGCACTTTTCACGTCGGGAGGACGTCCCAAGGCGCTGGACAGAGTACAGCATTTCAGACCCGAACTGGGGTCAGGGCATGAGAAGAGAGGGGAGGGGAAGGAGGTGGCCAATGGAATGGTCGAAAAGGAGGGTCTTGAGGTGGGATTTGAAGGAGGCTAAGGTGGGGGCGAGGCGGAGTGATTGGGGGATGGAATTCCAGACTTTGGGGGCAGAGTGGCTAAAGGCTCTCCCGCCAGTGGTGGGGCGGGTGGGTCGGGGGACGTAGAGCAGGCCAGAGCCGGCTGAGTGGAGGGAATGGGCAGGTTGGTAGGGGGTTAGGAGGTCGCAGAGGTAGGGTGGGGCAAGGCCATGGAGGGCTTTGTAGGTGAGGACCAGTGTCTTGAACTGGATCCTCTGAAAGATAGGGAGCCAATGGAGTCGGGCGAGAATGGGGGAGATGGGGTCACGGAGTTTGGTGCGGAAGAGGACACAGGCTGCAGAGTTCTGGATTATCTGCAGCCTGTGGATAGAGGAGTTGGGAAGATCGACAAGCAGGGCATTTGCATAGTCGAGCCTGGAGGTGATAAAGGCATGAACAAGAGTTTTAGACTAGGCTTATATTCTCTAGAATATAGAAGAATTAGAGGTGATCTTATAGAAACTTTCAGATTCTTAAGGGTCTTGACAGGCTAAATATTGTAAGACTGTTTCCCCTGGTTGGAGAATCTAAAACTAGGGGTCACAGTCTCAGGATTAAAGGTCAGCCCTTTAGAACTGAGTAGAGAAAACATTTCTTCACTAGTGAATTTATGGAATTCTCTACCCCAGAAGGCTGTGGATGCTCAGTCATTTAACATATTTAATACTGAGATCGATAGATTTTTAAAAACTAAAGGGATTAAGGGATATGGGGATAGGGTGGGTAAATGGAATTAGGTTACCCATGACTTATTAAATGGTGGGGCAGGCTTGAGGGGCCGAATAGCCTACGCCTGCTACTATTTCTTAAGTTCTTATGTTCTTATGATCAACAGGACTGCTCTCGCGAGTATTTCCAGCAGCTGATGCACAGAGATTATTGGCGCCAAATTCAGCAAGTCCTGAGGGAACACATTGTCCATGGGTTATACTTAAACCCACAGAGCTGCACCAAACCTGTACGCAATCAGAATTATTGACAGAATAAATTCTGAGTCTTTGGTTCAACCAGGACAAAAAAAAGGAGGAAATTTCTCACTGTGTTTATTTGAAAGTGCTGCTGAGATGCATGCAGCACCCTTATACTGCATATATACTTAAGTTGTTCTTGTTGTTGAAATGGTAAACGACTTTCACAAAGTGTTCTGAAATATTTGGTGTCAATTCATGAACACCAGCATTGGGATCTTTATTTCACCACAAGGTGGTGCTCAGCCCCACCTGTGACTTTGAAAGTACTTTAAATCTTAAAATACTGGGTAATCTAGGTTTCATCTATTTTCTTTTTCTGGTCAGCGGGGTGTCTGACACATGCAAAGACCCATCACCATGTTTACGAGTATCCAAACTAGACTGAGAGTTCCAAATTTGTATACCACCAAAACATGAGAATTTTCCTGCGCCTGAAATGGAATATGTACTCTCTCCCTGAAATGTCGGACCCTTCTTACCTAATTCCACAGAGTATTAGACTGGGTGATACTGTGGGTGATAGTGCAGATATGTCATCTCATATCTGCTTAGATTCAAAACCAGCCAAGTCAACCAAATGATATGTCTCTCTTTGCCAGTTATCAGGAACCCACAGGAATATAATAACAATCCTTGCATTTGATATAGCGGCTGAGCACGTTATCAAGACATATTAAAGCACTTCACAAGATGTACTGTATTAGAGTATAAGTATCAGTAGTAGCTAGGAGCATGAGAATATTAGCTTCATCTTCACACTGTAAGCAAATGCTAGAAATATTCACGTACCCCAGTACCAAACCCGGGATCCTCCTTCCTGTGACCTTCTCACCCAGGATTCATTCCAAGAATTGCCAAAGTCAACCAGCAGCACCAGCTCCGTGAGGAGGAAACAAAAGGCACCCACTGAACCAATCCCGAACGAGGCTGAAAAGAAGACAGTTTCTATGGGGTTTCTTAGGTTTATTCTCATCCCTCAACCCCTCCGCTCCACCATCGGCAGCTGTGCCATCAGCCCCTATGCCCTGAACCTCTGGAACTCCCTGCCTCAATCCTTCCGCCTAACCCCCTCTTTACCCATCTTTAAATCACACCTTTAAAAGACTTTACTCTTCAAACTGGAGTCCTGTAGCTCAGTGGTTAGAGCACTCGCCTTGCAAGCGAGACACCTGGGTTCAATTCCAGGCAGGGCGAAACCTTGGGCAAGTTTCCTTACTCCACAAGCCTAATAATAATCGATCCAAAAAAACAAAACAATAATAAATTGGTCATTTTCAATCCACGACTGTTTGTGGGACACTGCTGTGCACAATTGGCTGCCACGTTTCACCCACAAATATACGGTCAATTCACTTTACAGTCTATTCTGTGAAGCGCTTTGAGACATCGAGAAGACGTGAAAAGTGCTATATCAAATGCAAGGATTATTATTATTATTATAACTGTGCCTATGGTCACCTTCCCTTTCTTCCCAGCTCGACACCAAATTCTGCTGTTGTTCAGCGCTGCAAGACACTATCTCGCGTGAAGGGTATAAATGAAAGTCGTTGTTGTGTGAAACGAGAGTGAGAACACATCTTGTGTGACAGCAGTGTGCAGTGAGTCAATCAGTCAGTCAATCAGGATTTATTTTTGTGGCTCAGGTATCAGAACGCTGAATAAGATTAACTTATTTCTGAAATCTCTTTGGTAGGTTTGAGCAGCAAGGCTCCAGGAAGCAAGATTTTTAAGGAGGAACCAATTAGTGAAAGTTAAAGCTTTGTGACCTCTTTCATTGGCATATACAATTAACCATCATATTTAGTGTGTCTGGGACAGAAAGAATTTTAAGCTTGTCTTTTCTCCTGAATGTGGCTATAATTATGGCAATTGTAAAGAGGGCTAAGCTAAATAAGATACTAATGAGGGCTGGGTGACCCTGTGGGTGACAATGTAGTTCATCCTATATCTGCTTAGATTCAAAATCAACCAAGTCAATTGAATAAAAGGACTCCCTTTGCCAGTTATCAAGAACCTACATGAATATAATAATAATCCTTGCATTTGATATAGCGCCTTATCACATCATTGAGATGTCTCAAAGTGCTTCACAGGAAAGTGGTTTGACTGTATATCTGTATATTTTGTGGACAAAACGCTGGGCATTGTTGTGCACAGCAGTGTCTCACAATCAAGAGCTCGGTTTAATCTCTTCTCCGAAGGAAGGCAATGCAACACCCCATCCCCCAGCACTGCATTGGAGTATTAACTTAGACTGTGTGATTCCAAGTCCTGACGTGGGATTCAAACCCACAACCTTCTGACTCAGGTGAGAATGATACCACTGAGCCAAACTTAAAAATCTCAGTCCAGTTATAAGTTGGCACATTGCTTATAGAACTCTCCATAGTTTGGCATTGGCATTCTCTTGCAGGACGCAGTTTTCTTCTGCCCATATTTCTACAGTGTTTTCAATGCCCATAATAAGGAATCTAAGTTGCATATTAAATGGCACATCCTTCCAGTCCCTGGAGGTAAGCCATGCCAACCCACAGGATAACTCAGCTATGATGTAATAATAATAATTATAATTATAATAATCCTTGCATTTTGATATAGCACCTTATCACATCTTCGAGACATCTCAAAGCGCATCACAGAATATACTGTAATGTGAATTGATTGTGTATTTTGTGGGCGAAACGCGGCAGCCAACTACGTACAGCAGCATCCCACAAACAGTTGTGGATTGAGTGACTAAATATATTTTTTTTTGAAGAAATAATTATCCCTGGAAAAGCAATCCGCTAATTGACTAACAGCCAGGTTCCCTACTTACTGTGAGGTAAACCGAGGCATGTGGAGTAAGGAAACTTACCCAATGTTTTGCCTTGCTTGGAATTGAAATCTGGTCCTCTTGCTTGCGAGATGAGCGCTCTAATCACTGAGCTACAGGACAACAGTATATGAGCTGCCTAAAGCCTTAGGAGTCTATGGGAATTCCAATAAGATTCCTTATTGAATCCCTCAAATTGGACACTACCACATTTTAAATACATAAATATAAAAAATTAAGATTAATTGAAATATAAATCACTCTTAATTTTTCACAACTGGGACTTTGAGCTCACAGTACTGGCTGACACACCAATACACTCCGCTGCATTGTCAGAGTTGCCAACACCTCTGAGGAGATGTTAATTCTTCTGGCTGTTCAGGTAGACATTAAAGATCCATGACAATACTTGACAAGGGAAGGTAGTTTCTTGTGGTGTCCTGCTCAACAATCTTCCAGATCAAATTGGTCATTCACTTCATCGCTGTTTGTGAGACATTGCTGTGTGCAAATTGCCTGCCCTATTTGTCTGCAAACTAAACAGTCACTACACTTTACAGTAAATCTTGTGAAGCATTTGAAATGTCCTCCCAAAGTGAAAGGCACAATATCAAAGGCAACGATTTTTATCATGATGCTGTTGTAATTATAAAGACTCCTTTATGTCTGTGAAATATCAATTTCCAGTTATTGTAATGTAGACTCCATAGTACAAGTTTAGATATGTGATAGCATATCAATGTAAAACTATGTAGAATAGCATAGGTCACTAATTGAATGCTCATTTCTTTCCATTTGCACTCAGTGTTAAAACAGATCTGGTAATCTGAGAACACGCTATATTCCTTTCCAGCTCACATCAACATTTGTATTTAGCACATTCACTGGCACTGTTATTGAAGTGTTTCGGTATCAGTAATGTGCAAATTTGCCATTAAAAAAATGTAAGCAAATGGGTAATTCTTTATGCTAGTATTTACGGCCTATGTATTTAATATGTGCTGTATAAGCATTGGTAAAAATGTCAGGTACTATCTTTACAAAGGCTTCTCAAAGTAACACTTATACTGCAGGCAGTACTATATAACTGACATTGGTGAGGGGTGTATTTTACTGTGGTGAGGAAACTCTGGAACTTTCTCCCTCAATCCCTCCACCTTGCCCCCTCCCTCCCCACCTTCAAATCCCGCCTAAAGACCTTCCTTTTTGATCGTGCTTACGGTCACGTCCCCCTACCTCTCCCCCGGCTCGTTGTCAGACTCTGCCACCGTGAAGGGCTCTGAGTTTCTACCCCGCATGAAGGGCGCTATATAAATGTAAATTGTTGTTGCTGTTATTGTTGAATGTATCTTCTCACTAACTTAAAATGCTACAGGAGCTTCTAATCCCATCAAATAGGGAAAGTGGTTTCAAGGAAACTGAAAAGCCAACCCAACCACAGTCTTAATGTACTGAAGTCCTGTCTGTAGGTTCCCACAAGATTACAAAAGGTTCAAAGGAAGCTTTTTGAACCACACACATTACGTGTGGAATTCACTTCCCTCCATATTAACTTTCCCTAAAAAATAACTGTTGGAATGGGATACCATTCATAGTGCTGGCCTGAGCAACCTTTTCAGAGTGTTTGATTTCAGAGACCGAACTCACAGACATCCAGCTCACTTACCTCGAGTGAAGTGTCCTTCAGGGATATAAAACACGCCAACCATTATAGCCACAAGTGCTACGAATTTGAAGAACCAGAAGCTTTAGAAGAGAAAGATAATACCACCATGATTTTCCTAAACGCACCAAATTAAGAGTATAAGTAGGAACTGACTTCACTATTGCCATTGATTGAAATCCTGCCTGTAGACCTAGTATCCCTACAGATAGTGTCCATCCAAAAAACACATGAAATAATCCAGCATGTAACTTACGCATATGTAAAGAAATAATTTACTGTTTCAATGTTATAGAAAACGTTATAGTTAGTAGTAAAATTAATAAACAGATTGGTAGCCATAGGATAAATAACTTCTGTTAACAGAATCAAGTTAAACACTTAAGATCCTAAGTACTGGTTTTGAAGATGATAAGTTTTAAAAATAAAGTGTAATTAAAAGTAGTGTCTTTTTTAAAACAAGAAATCTTACTAAAGAGTTCCTAAAAGTTTGGTTTTAGTTTCAGCTTCAAAATTGCTCCCATTTTCACATGGACTCTTACCTGTTATGTACCATGGCCCTGGGACATTTGCTGTTTTTCACATTGATCATAAGCAGAGCCAGCAAGAAGAAGAACAATGCCATTCCAACGCAGATACGATACACTGACTTATAGCCAACTAACACTCTGCAATTCACAGCCTCGATATCTCCAGGCAACTGCTCATTAAGGCCAACCTCGCAGAATCCTGGAATCTATAATATTACATATTACAGTAATACAGTTTCTGGAGAAAAATAAATATGTTCAATAACATATCAATGCTTTTCATCCACAAAATACACAGTCACTAGACTTTACAGTATATTCTGTGAAGCACTTTGAGACATCTCGAAGACATGATAAGGCTCTATATCAAATGCAAGGATTATTATTATTACTAAAGCCAATGCTTTCTGACTGATTCATTCATGGGTCTGCACACTGCTCTTTAACTTTCTCGACCTGGACTTGATTCAGTCCAGGTTGATACAAAATATGTGTAAGATAACCAACCACAAGAGTAAACAAAGGAGGTGTTAGAAAAAAATCTTTATGTGGAGTGTGATTGGAAATGAGGAATTCTCTGCCACAAACCACTTCAGCGCTCCGAGACGCTACCCCGTGTGAAGAGAGCTACGTAAATACCCTTGGGAGAGAGGTAGTTCGTAGGCTGTCTTTAGGATTGGATTGAAAACTGTAACATTTTTTAAGAACAACAAGAACAAGTTGCATTTATATATGGTGGGAAGTCAAGCAAGGGATGGTGATAAAAGGAAGGTTTTAAGGGAGGTCTTAAAGACAGATAGGGTTAAGGGAGCTATCTAAATGCAAGTTGTTGTTGTTGATAGGGGGGGCGTAATACAGAAAGAGGGAGGGAATTCTGAACATTAGGGACACATCAATTCTGTTATGAAATGTACCATTTTTAGGCGTAGACAACTGAACTGCTGTTAAGTTCTAGAATATACCCCTTGGAATTCATCCACTCATACCTTTTTCAACTGATCTTCCAGTGGAGGTATAAGCATGATACCAGCAACGACTGTTCCAAGCAGTAAAACAGATGAATAGATCAATCGTGTCACTACAGAATTTTTACCAGTGGGGCAATAGGAGCACATCAGGCATGGAGCACTGCTGCACAGACATGGGAGCTGGAAATACAAGAGAGAGTGAACTGTTTACTGGGTTTGAAGGAGCTTTAATGGTATTGCACACGTTTCTGCTAATTGCTGCAGCAACAAAATATTCTGAAATAAAACTAACCTCAATATTATGCTATAGGTATCAGAGGAAAGTTGTGCAACTGTTATTAAAGCCCCTAGAACTTCTGGATCCACCGCACACTCATAACAACACATGTATGTATGCTGTCAAGTTTGTTCCACTCATATTCAAATGAAGCACTAGATAATACAGAACTAGCTATCCAATCCATAACACACAGCTAGATATTCAATCTATAAAACAGAACTAGATATCTAGTTATCTAGACCGGGTGTCCAGCTCTGTGCTACAGAGATAGACACCCAGTCTATGACACAGCTCTGCATATCAACAACAACAACTATATAGCTGGGTAGCGTCTCCGAGCGCTTAACAAGCCGAGCCTGACTCCGAGCCGGATGGAGTGGGGTGTGGTGTGGGGAGGTGGCCGTAAGCACAGTCGAAGAGGAAGATTTTCAGGCAGGACTTGAAAGAGGGGAGAGAGGGGGCAAGGCGGAAGGATTAAGGGAGAGTGTTCCAGAGTTTCGGAGCACAGTGGCTGAAAGTGCGACCTCTGATGGTGGGCCAAAGGGTGCGAGGGACGAGCAGGAGGCCGGTGCCAGTCGAGCAGAGAGGTAGGGAGGTGCCAAAGAGTGAAGGGATTTGAACACGAGTGTGAGGATCTTGAAGTCGATCTGGTCGGTGATGGGGAGCCAGTGGAGTCTGGCCAGAACTGGTGAATAATGGAGCTGGGGAGACCGGTGAGAAGTGTGTTTGAATAATCCAGATGGGAGGTGACAAATGCATGCAGAAGGGTTTTGGCTGCATTTGGGGTAAGATATGGTCGGAGGCGGGAAATGTGGCGGAGGAGGAAGAAGGCGGTTCCGGTCAGGGACTAGATGTGGGGGAGGAAGGACAGCTGGGGGTCGAACCAGATGCCTAGATTGTACTCTGGTTCAGTGAGTCTGAGGGAGAGCCCAGGGAGGTTGAGGAGTTCAGATCCGCAGGAGTGAAGACATTGATGGGAGCCAAGGAGTATGGCTTCCATCTTGTCCAAATTTAGCTGCAGGAAGTTTGCACTCATCCAGGCCCTGATTTCTGCCAGACAAGCTGATAGAACATCGGCGAACCTGGAGTTGGTACCGGAGGAGGCAAAGTAGATTTGTGTGTCATCCGCATAGATATGGAAGTTTACCCCGTGTCTGCTGATTACATCACCCAGAGGGAGCATATAGATAAGGAAAAGAAGAGGGCCAAGGATGGAGCTCTGGGGTTCCCAGCAAGTGACGGGCAGGGGCGGGAGAAGAAACTGTTTGCTGAGATGAAATGGAGGCGGTTGGTTAAGTAGGACTCAAACCATGCGAGTGTGGTCCCACTAAGGTAGATGAGGGAGGAGAGGCAACGGAGGAGGATGGCATGGTTCACTGTGCGGCAGAGAGATCCAGGAGAATGCGGAGGCAGAGGGAGCCCTGGTGATAGATAGAGAGAATGTCGTTTGTGACTTTGACAAGCGCTATCTCTGTGCTGTGGGCAGGGCGAAAACCAGACTGCAGGGGCTCGAGAAGGAAGTGGAGGGAGAGGTGTGACCGAAGCTGACCTGCAACAATGCGTTTGAGGAATTTGACAAGGAAGGGTAGGTTGGAAATGGGACAGTAGTGTGTGAGATTAGAGGGATCGAGGGTCGGTTTTTTGAGGTTAACAGCGGTTTCAGGGGGAGTGGAACAGAGCCTGAGGAGAGGGACTAGTTGACCGTGTTGGCCAGCAAGAGGTAGAGAAGGGGGAGTTGAGTGACCAGCTGCTGGGTGGGGAGAAGGTCAAGGCAGCAGGTGGTGAACTTCATCCGAGTGATTGTGGTTGAGAGGGAGGAGGGAGAAATCGGGGCCAGGGAGTGTAAGGAGGGGGGAGCGGCAGGAGCCATGGCGGAGGGAGGAGGTGGTGTGGATAGTCTGGGTGGGATGGACAGGGATATGGGTGGGGAGGAGGATGCAGGCAAGCAAATATTTTTATCTTTGAGGCGAAGAAGTCTAGGACCTCTTTGCACTTGGCGTTTGATGTGAGGATAGAGGGGACTTGAGGGGATGCACGGTGGAGGTGATGGACGGTGAAAAACAGCATCTTTGGATTGTTTGCCTCCAGGATGACTTTGGAGTAAAAGTCAGTTTTGGCCTGTGAAAGGGAGAGGCGGCAGGTGCGGAGGTGCTCGAGCCACAGCTGGTGGTGAATCGTGAGGTCGGATTTCTGCCATCTGCGCTCATGCGTCCGGGTTTGTGTTTTGAGTTATAGATATCCTGTCTACAACACAGCTCTAGATATCCAGATATATATTACACAATATAATACGTCAAGATGCAATTCCCAGAGGTTTGTACACAGTTTGTATTGCTTTCCTGTATTGCTTTCATGAATATGGAAGCAGATTGGTCTGCATAAAATTGTAATTAAACCTGAGCAGCCATTGTTCCAAACTCTAAAATATTCCTGTAAACTGTGCAATACTTTTCTTTTAAAAATGTAAACATATCACTTGAGTAAAATTGAGAATAGAGCTAGCAATCTGCTCCTATTTGAATATTGTTTTGGGGGAGGGGGAAAATGGTTGCATTCAAAATGTTCCTGTGTGCTTGTCATTGCTTACTTCATTTAGTAGGGATTGAGTGCAAATGTTCTTGTGTGTATATATTGATTCAATTTCTGGTAATCTGCTGTCAAAAGGGTTTTGTGACTTTGTGGTGAATAGCCATACAGACTGACTAGTAACTAATAACCTTTCATATATTTCCATCTATTACATGCCCAAAGTATTACCTGAAATGCACTGCCTGAAAGGGTGGTGGAAGCCGATCCGATAACAACAACAACAACAAGATTTCATCTATAGAGCGCCTTTCACGTCGGGAGGACGCTGGATAGTTGGGTCAGGACCCGAGCAGGGGGAAATGGTCAGGGTGAGGGGAGGGAAGGGAGGGAGCGAGGAGGGGGTAGAGAGTCGAGAGGGGAGCTGAAGGCACTGTCAAAGAGAAAGGTCTTGAGATCGGCCTTGAAGGAGGAAAGGGAGGAGGCGGCGAAGGCACTGGGGGATAGAGTTCCAGAGCCTGGGGGCTGAGAGGCTGAAGGCCCGGCCACCGATGATAGGGCGGTTAGGGCGGGGGATGTGGAGCAGACCTGAGCCAGAGGAACGGAGGGTACGGGCAGGTAAGTAGGTAACAATTTTTAAGAGAAATAGGTTATTATTTGGGGAGGACAAGTTTGCATGGCTATCGGGAGAAAGCAGGGGAGTGGGATTGAATTGGATAGCTCTTTTCAAAGAGCCGGTACAGACCTGATGGGCTGAATGGCCTCCTTCTTGCTGTATAATTCTATGATTCTATGATTCTATGATTCTATGAAAGTAATGTTGCATTACAGACACGATGGGCTGAATGGCCTCCTTCTTGCTGTATAATTCTGTGATTCTATGAAAGTAATGTTGTATTACACTCTGGTTAATGCCAGCTGCAATAACCAGAGTGTAATACAAATGTCTAAACAGTAGCTGTTTATACCCATTATACTCCTTACAGTGATGTGCCTGCATTTTTATCATAAAAATATAATTTTCCAGCATACAGGAAGGAGCTAATCTGTCAAAATAAATCTTCCAAATGCCACTGACATGGATATTCAATTTTTCATGGAGCAATCTGATAAAGGAAGCCATCATTTGTACACTTAATCTCTTTGTATTGACCTCTGCTTCAGCTAGAAACCTCAGGAGAGTCAGCACAGAGTCAGGAAGTGTACACAGAGTGCAAATCTGAAATAACATCTACAAGCAAAACGGTAATGATTTTATAATCCAAAATGGGAAGACAAAAGACAAGCTTTGTTTTTACTGCTTTCTCCACTGGTGGAGGGGGGAAGGAGGAGGCGGGGAATGATTTTATAGCTATTTTGAAGATGTAAATTTTTTATAACCCCAAAAGATCAACATGTACCCATGAAATAGGAATAATTCGTCAGCTTGCCAAACTCCCCATACAAAGACTACAGCACTTCCTGTACTTATCGGCAATCTGTGGGGCTAAAAGTTTTGATTCCAGAAATGCTCAGCTTTAGGCAGCACTTGTTACAAGGAGGGAAGCAAGACATCATTACGTCCTCCTGACATGAAAAGCGCTATATAAATACAATTTATTGTTGTTGTTTATTTAAAACAATCATCTACATCAGTTATTAGCAGGCACAGTGAATGATAGAAATCACATTCTTGGGTATAAGCTCAACTGAATTAACACAGCATTTTAAATAATTAATTAACTGGAATCATTTTACACGCCTACCTTCTCCCCTTCCCCCCAACTATTTCCCAAATTATATTTGAGAAATTGCACACAAGCTATTGCGTTCAAAGCGCAAGGAGTGAAAGCTGAATTCTCACCCATTTGCAGACAGTAGTCGGGAAGCTCCAACCCATTCTTAATCTGGCAGAGAATGAGCTGCTCATCGTGACAGGTGGGGACAGCAGTGACCTGCTCTCTGCTGATCACTTCCCTTCCTGACGTCAGAGGTACATTTTGCTGCGGATCTTTCTACTAGACTTACAGGACCAACTCCTGGCATTTCCCTCAAACATAAAAATGTTTATGATACATAAATCGTGCAGGGATTTTGTTACTTATAAACTGAAATCTATTTTAATTGAAACATTTTGAGTATCAATAGCTCATTCTAGTTTATAAAGTTGACCTGTTTTTCTCGGCTGCCACTCTTTTTCCTGTGTTAGGCTGCTGGAAGATGACTGTGTTCTGTGACAGCGAATGGAGCAACGAGAGAAGTCACAGGACTAACATTAAATCGATCGTCTTTAAATTTAAGATCGATGGTTAAAAATTCTTACATTTTCAGTCTGAACTGTTTTCCTCACTTTTTAAGGAAACGTTTCTCAAATTCAGACTAAATTGATGCATTT